ACAATTTTAGATGAAACCCAGTGATCCTAAACTAAGAGAAGCCATGCACGCGCCCTTTAAAGATGGTGACCCATTATTAAGCACCACTGAACGCCAACTGTTCTATGGCCACTGTAGTTGCATGGAAAATGAGGTTTGGCTACTGAGTGGTAATGGAGTTTTTTCAGCAACCGTCGATGTGCAAAAGAGCATTCATCGAATTTGAAGGCAAATTCTCCTTGCGATAGCGTTCACTTTAGGCCTGAGGTTAGGGGTGCGGAGCCCTCTTTGAGGGCCAAAATCTAGAACCCAAATTTGGCATCCGAGGTGTCGAATCAAACCACAATTATTACGCTATGAAGAGTTTACCAATGGCGCTAATAAAATACGTTTCTGCAAGGTTTCATTCGCTAGCTGACCTTACTTTGTTCCATCTAAAGATCCTTTCCATCGAGAAAGGGAATTTAAAGTAAAATCTGTATAGAAATCAAGGCCCGTGAAATGCCTTTTTCTAACTCTAGTACCATAGTGAAGCAAAACACTTACTTAATTCAAAATACGCTATATTATTTTTTTTGGTTTCGGTAGCAAATATTACTGCTTCATTAGTGGAAATTGAGGGAGAGTAGCAAATAAGTACTGCACGAGTATGGTATGCCATATGCTAAGCGGCAGCATCTGGTTTCTTAGAGGTGGTTAAATATTGTGGAGCACCTTCGCTCATGCATCGGCATTACCAGGACTGAGAAATGTCATGAAGTTCCCTATGTCCTACAAAAACTGCTCCCAACCACACCTCGATCATCATAAAAACGTCATGCAAGGCGCACTTCAATAAAATTGTGCCTAAGAAAAACGGTAGATCATCCACATTACCTAGTCAAATGTGGCTGAAAAACTTCAACATCTAAATACTCCGAATAAAGTTATAGCATATACACTGAGTGGAGTACGGTCGTACAGAAATGCGAACAGAAATAACAACACTTCCTTTGCAACGATTACCCTCTATAAAAAACGAGCTCTAAATTTTCTGAGACATAAAACTTCATGGGAGGACGTGGGTGTTTTAAGTTGAGATCTGGCTTCTTTTAAAGTAACGACAGCATTAGTGTTGGTTGTTTGGACCAACCTGTAGATCGGGTGGGAAAGTATTACGTTGGCGGGATGCACGCAGGAGAGGGCGGAGGCGTTGCGCAGGCCCAAGCCAAGGAGACCGCCACCGCTGCTGCCACCGTGGCAGGAGGGAGAGGAGGGGGCCTGTGGCCCACCCGTCCCACTATCCTCCATGCCCATCGAGGTAGGTATTTCTATAACAAGGTCAAGCAAAGCATTCTTCCTTGCAGCTAAAGTAACTCCACTCCCAACACGCAGTGCCTTGAACAGAAAAGGGCGTTTATTCTGTTCATTACTTATCTCCCTCTTGTGCTACCTTCTCAAATGGTTAAAAATCTTATTTGGAAGATGCGGCATCTCGAGATTTAACTGCTCATTTTATGCTTTTCGGGTACATAACAGAGGTAATTGAGTTTGCTTGCATTACCTTTAGAAGCCTAGGCAAGTTACCCACGCCTGGTGCATCAAGTCACGTAATAAAGGGCTATAAAAAGAGATGTCATTTGCCGCGATTACTCTGTGTGTGACAGTTTCCTTATCTAGGGTGGTTGTATCAAAGGAAAAAACCAGGTGAAGTGCGGATTGAAGACAAGGAGAGGTGTATGTACATTGGTAATGACTTCCCAAGTTTCCCTACCCATATAGTACCTAAGTTATAGTATAGTGCATTAAGTGAACCATTTCGGCGAACAAAACATAACGGATCGGTAATGAATGTCGAAGGCCAGACTTATAGAAGAATAGAGTAGCGCACTAACAGCCAGTTGTTACGCTTCATGTTGATGTTGTAACCAGTTAAATTTTCATCACGATTATGACATTTTAACTTTTGTTGTGTAAGCACAACGGTCGTCAAGTCAGCCAGACAAACTCACCAGTAGGGACTGGAGTAGTCGATCCCGATATTTTGCTCAGGGCAGAAGAGAACCTGGTGCCGACCTGTAGAAAGACAAAATATCCTATTCAACCTGGAGGATTAAAATTGCTCCAACTACTAAATCAGCAAGCATAGAGGCTTAATAACGAAGAAGCAACAGTAAAATGTTTGAAAATTACTTCCGTCCAATTGTTGTAAAAATTTGAATGGACAAGGTGTAAGGAACTGCCTTATGTGATGACAGCGCCTCTTCATCCTCATTTTAAAGGACATGAAGGACGAAATTTCTGCGTGACTGAAGAAGCCAGTGCATTTTAAGTTCTGTAAGTAGCTGATAAGATTCGACACAGAAAGTTGTGTTACCTTTGGTTTGTTTCTTCCGTACACAAAGACACCATCAGCTGACACTTTGAGCAACGTCTTCTGCTTCTTCACTCCTTTGGCTTTGAACTCATACTAAAGGTATGACACATGCACATGATTGTCGCAACGTGAGTTTTATCCTTAAATGTACCATTTTTGGAAGTTTCAATGCGTAAAAAGGAGGGGTTTGATTAGAAAATAACTGTTTTCTTCTCAAGCGTTGGTATCAGAATGTAGAGGCTGCTAACCCAAAGGCTTAAAGGCGAGGAATATTTAGAACTTCGCGGGTTTTAGTGCTGGTCGTAATTTTATTTTGAGAAGACGAATTTAACATTTTAAATGGTCCCTTCTGATGGTGTCACAATTTACCTGTACGATTTCTTTGTTAACAGGCGGAATGTCTCTCCCTTCCATCCAAATCGAAGTCTATGGGTTTTGTAAGTAGGTAAATAAGTTCACCCAACAGGTTGCAATGAACTATTGTACAAAGAAGTCGGTAAATTACCTTCCTAAACATTGAGGAAGGTGACTGCGATTCACAGTCAGTATATTTGAAGTACTAACCGAAACTGTACCAAGTAAGTGGTTACGATCCAGTTCCTCAT